TATATTGTAATAATATAATCGAACAAAGATTGATACATACCAATAAAAAACCAAATACCAAAAATGAGCAAACAAAGTGCACAACTCGAGCGGTACGGGGGCAGGGAAACCTTGCCTGGAATTCCAACTCGTAATGATATTATTTCAGAATGTGATAATGGGTCAACGGCTATACTTCAACAAAGCTTATTCAATAACCAGCCTATATACTTCATGCCTAATGATGTGAGTGACGCTACTGAGTACGTAAAAAATGTATCTATATATATTCTACGTATTTATGGTACTTTGATTAATGGGCAAAAGGCTAGGGTAGATATTACAGGTATCAAACCTTTCTTTGATATCCTTGTACCCGATAACGAGCCTTTATCTATATTCAAACCAAGATTAGTGACAATTATATCAGGGGTAGAAAAAATTGACAAATCGAAGTTTGGAATGAAGATCGTCTATGCATATCCAATTCGTGGTTATCATACCGAGAAAAAAGTATATATTCGTATCACTACATGGAATCATTATGATAGAACACGAATTTTAAAAGAAGTTCGTAAACATGACATTGAAACGGCATCAGATGATATTACTAACGTGCATTATTATCGGAAAATAGCTCGTGAAGAAAGACTATCCCTCTCTGAGATGGTGGTACTAAGTAACTATAATTATATTTCTGATACGAATTCACCACATAATTTCTATTCTTTTCGCATATCTGTAGATAACTATCGGCCTTTAGGGGATAATAAACCGGATGATCACATAGTATCTTCAGCTCTCATGTATGATCGGACTCTCGTGCTCACCTGGGATATAGAAACATATAGTGGCCGTAAGATGGGTGACGTACCTATAGCAAAGTATGAAGATGACTGGGTTTTTATGATTTGTATGACTATACATTGGAAGGATGATCCAGTACCATTAAAGCGAATTTGTCTCGTTGATGTTGAAACGGCACCGGATTCAAATTGGATTACGATTGTTTGTGAAACTCAAGAAAACTTATTAAAAGCATTCACTCTTTGTTGGAAAGCAATCAAGCCAGATATACAAATTGGATTTAATGATTCGCAATATGACTGGCCTTTCATTATAGAAAAAGCCAAAAGGTTAGGTGTTCTTGAATGGATGTATAATCATATGTCACCTGAATCGTTCAACATTGAAGAAATTATAAAATGAAAATACCGAAAAAGTGAAATAAAGGTAGCTGATGAAAAATTTTATTCGAAGTATCTCAAAATCCCAGGATGTATACCTATTGATGTCCGTGCTTGCTTCAAAAAGTTATACCAAAAATCAGAAGCAAGTTCACTAAAGTATTATTTGGAAAAATGTGGGTTGGGTAGCAAGGCTGATATGTCAATAATTACTATGAACAAAATATATGAAGATGCAATACTTTACCCCTCTGATATGTCGGCTAAAAATATGTGTAAAGTTGCGAATTATTGTATTATAGATGCATTGCGATGCCAAGAACTTATGGTTATACATAATGTAATTAATGACTATAGGGAAGTATCATCTATTGCATATGTGTCCCTCTCTGATTCTCATTATTTCACGGGGGGTATGAAAGTATGTAATCTTTTGGAAGCTGAAGCTTGGAGCAGTAATATGTTATGTAGTATGATTGCTTCGGGAAATACAGAATCTGGTAAGTACCCAGGAGCTTATGTTATTACACCGATAAAGGGTCTCGAAAACAAACGTCCAGTAACAGGCTTAGATTTTGCCTCCCTATACCCTAGTCTTATAATGACTTACAATCTTTCACCAGATAAAATCATATTATCTCGTGAAAAGGCAATAAATGTAATTCGCAGTGGAAAGAAGACCCACAAGATTAAGTTTCTATTCAATGGTCAAACTATAGAAGCTTGGTCCATTCGCCACAATAATATACCTGAAGAAAAGGGTTTATATGCTAGAGTATTGGAAAATTTGTTTATTAAACGAAAGGAAATGAAAAAATGCCTTAATGAATTGGATGAGGAAAGTTTCGAATATAGTTGCTTAGACTCAAAACAAAAGGCAGTAAAATTATACATGAATACATTTTATGGCGAGGCAGGTAATAATCTCTCCCCGTTCTATCAATTGCAGTTAGTGGGTGGAGTTACTTCTGCTGGACAGCGTAATATTAAATTTGTTAGAAAATTCGTTGAAGATAAAGGATTCGGTGTTAAATATGGAGACACCGATTCTTTATATCTCACATGCCCAGAAGAGTGTTTCCAGGAATGTGATCGAAAATATAAGTTAGATCAAATCTCACAAGAAGAGTACTGGGAGGAAATGGTAAAAATATCTATGGAAGTGATGGCAAACCTCCGTAATGAAGTAAATACTGAGCTTAAAAAAGACAATGGAACGCTTTATCTTAATATGGCATATGAGGAGGTCTTATTTCCCGTGGTATTTACAGGAAAGAAAAAATACTATGGTCTGGAGCATAAAAATAAATCAAACTTTAATCCGGGTAAGCTTTTCATTAGAGGGGTTGATATCGTGAAAAGAGGTCAATCTAAGCTCTTCCGTGATGTAGGTAAAGAAATTATGAATAGGACTTTGAAAGTCGGTAATGAGGAGACAATACACCAGATTGTTGAAAAGGTTCTTTGGAAGAATGTGGAAAAACTTTCCAAGTTAGATTATGATGAATTTATTCAGACATGTATATGGAGGCCTAAAAAGGAAGGTAAGTGGGGGAATATTCCTGTAGAACGATTTGTTTCGCGAATGGAGGCTAAGTACTCTCGTGAAGTATTGGAAAATCAACAGCTTATAAAGAAGAGTTTACCCGCTAATGAATTTCTATATAAAGTCCCCAAACCAGGTGAACGATTTAGTTATATCGTAGTAATACCTGAAGAGATTTATGATAACTGCGGGAAAAAAATACCACAACAAAAAGGAGATTGCATGGAATATCCAGATGTGGTAAAAAAGTTCAACAAGAAAATAAATATAGATTATTATATCGAAAGTCTATTTGGTCTCTGTGCCCGTTTTATAAATTATGATGATAAATATCAGCCATCACCTGAATCTCTCTCAAAAGTCTTGGATCGCAAAAAGAAATCCAAGGAGAAGAAATTAAAAATTGCTAAGGATTTATTGCAAAGCAATGACTCTTTGAGTCTAGATGAAGATGAAATAGCAAAAATTAAAGATGAAGAGTCACAGAAGTCAGCTAAAAAATGGCTCAAAAATTATATTAAGAACTTACGCGATGCTCCAAAAAAAGATGAAGCCATTATCTCTCATTTATGGAAAGATGCTATTATACATGCCGAAAAATTATGCTCTACTATGAATATTAGCAGTTCTATTAAAAATTCTCCACAGAAAAATAATCCTTATTTCAATGCGTTAGATAAACATAAGGAACCTATTCACTCAAAATTATCAACGCTACTCATAGAAATTTCGAATATATTTACAGGATATAGAGAAGGTTTGTATAAATTAGTTAATAACTCTCATAAGTATAGTGGAGCTAGTGCCAAGGCACATATTTCTAAAAGTACAATTTTGGAAGAATATATATTAACTGATATTTTAGAATCTGAGTGTGGGATACTAACAGAATTCAGAAATACGTGGTACAAAGTAATTGGTCTTGAGATTGCGCGTCTTCAGGCACTATCGATTACGCAGAATAGTAAAAAAGATGTCTGATATCGATAGGATGATAACTCGAAGAGTTGCCTATAAGGCCTGATCTATATTGTTAAGTATTCTTGGTTAGAATTGCCAGACTCCACTAAGATACTTATACAATAATAATATTTTTTCGTACATAAAAATACCCAAGTTTAAATAGATAATTTCTAATACCTCGTCCATGTGTCCCATAGCCGATCACGTTTTTTACCTATATTCCACGTGCGCCTCAATACCACGAACCACATAACCGCAATAATTATCAGAGTAAGTAATATACATGCTGATAGAGGTGACATCAAAGAACTTGCAACAGCAGGTATTGCTCCTATCCCCCCTATCGGAATTTGAGAGTGTGATTCGATCAAAGAGGGTTTATAATTTTCTGGCTGTACAAGATAAGGGGTCATATTCGGTAATTCTTGGAGTGTATTGTTATCTGCGGAGCAGGACACTTCGTGTCTGGTTTTGCTAATATCGATTTCATCACTTGCCTTAGTAATAATCTCAGTATCTACTTTTGGAGATGAGGCATAGCCTTGAATTACTGATTCCTCAGGTATAGAAGCACTTTTATCATCAGTGCGATCCAGTATATCTGTATCGATTTTTCCAACTTGATCCATACCTTTTCCACGTATAAAATATTGACTGAGATCTTTACTAGGTATATCAGTTGCGATAGCATCATCACTCCGTGAGATAGAATTTGGTATTTTTTTTCATCTGCCTCACCACCGATCTTGATTGGTTCTGACGATAACTTGGATTCTAAGGAGTGTATCTCTGAAGTTTTCAAGGCCAGATCATCTTTCATTTGTTTCAATTCGTCATCTTTCGAAGCCAATGCATTCTCCATACGCACCAATTCACTATTTTTCGAAACTAGAATAGAATTCAAGGCAGATAATTCGGCCCTAAGGGAGTCAATCTCAGATTCTTTCATAGACAAGTCCTTCTGAGCTGAAGATAATTTCGTCTCCAATGCCTCCATCTTAGATAAGAAATCTTTCATTTCATTGGATTTTGTACGAATCTCGTCCTTGAATTTACTAAGTGAAAGATCTTTACCAGTGATGCAGGATTGAAGAGTATCTATCTTTGAGCGTAATTGCTTAACCTCATCTATAAGTTGATATACATACTTGGAGAGTTTCTCATTATTGGAACGTAATTGATCATTCTCCTTATTGGTATTTATGCTATGATTCGAATATACCACTTGCATATTTTTATATTCACTAGTAATTTCAGAATTGGACTTGATACTATCACGTAACGCCTCCTCGAGTTCTTGTTCGCGGGTACTACCAAGCCTATACCCCTGCCCTTGTATTCTTTTGGATTCCGTGTTCTTGGTGTTTCGCAATGTACGTACATTGGCCATATTATTTTTCTCATATATTAAAAAAAAAATCAAGACTAAGTAATAGATATATTATATATTTTTGGTTTACCAATATTACCAATACTAGTGATATTACCGATATTATTGATAATGATTTTTTATATATTACTGATATTACTGATATTATTGATATTACCGATATTACTGATATTACCGATATTACTGATAATGATTTTTTATATATTACTGATATTATTGATATTACTGATATTATTGATAATGATTTTTATATATTACTGATAATAATTTTTTTATATTATCGATATTACTGACACTATAAATACGTTAACAAAACCATGCGATCTGATGCAGTCAAACTATCACCAACAGACTATGATTATATTATGCGATATAAAGATATAAAATC